TATCATGTGCATTCCTAAAGAACGATGAGACCCTGATCGGTTCAGTTATTTTCTTTCATCGAAAACATATCGTAATAATCTTATTGAATATCTTGAGTCTATAAGTGAAAATCCTTTCTTGGAAATAATCCATATGCTTTTCAATTAGACCATGTGAGGACCGGTTTTCGCGAGAACTTTTTGGTTCACACCGGAGAACTCGTATCTTAAGCAAGGCTCCATTAGGTGGAGGATCTGCTAGACCTTGGTTGATACATATCTGAATGTTGCAATGGCTGAAGTATCAACGGCAAGTATGCCTGGAAAGCATCGACATGAAATGGTTAACTCCATTTTCGTAACTCAATGCACGATAATATGTGCCACGTGTGAATTCGTATATAGTTCTATTTAACATAACGATCGAAATCTTAACAAGTAATGGTTCAACTGTTGAAGACTAGCTTTTCAAAGTTGAGTGATAATCGAGAAGCGTTCAGAAATGAAATGATATTTCGCCCGTGTTTAATTTGGTTAAAAATGGACCGCGATTGAAAATTTGATAATAATTATGAAAAAAAAATTAATTTAAAAAAATTAGGACGAATCAACAATTAACTCCCCCACACGCCATCTTCTTCTCTCTCAAGAAACTTAACCGACATCGATCTTCAGTTCTTCATACTCTTCTTAATCGATTACCATACTGTACCCCTGCCCACCCCCTCCTCTTACACAAAAGAACCAAATATGGCGACGGAGCAGTCAGTTTTGGCGGTGATTAGGGCGGCGCGACCGACTTTCCGGAATCCCCACGATAAAGTGGCGTTTGCCGTCCATGCTTGTTTCCTCTCAGCCGGATGCATTCTCCACTCAACCGGTCCCTCCGCCTTTGAAAACGACGTCCTCTCCTCCGCCTCCACCGGTAAGATGAACAATAAAAAGTCTTTTAGTTATTTTGCTATTTTCTCCACATATTTTTACACCCTTGTACTACACGTTGGACTGTTTGCTTTTGTACATGTGAATTTGGTTAACTATTTATCTTCTTTGTTGGGTAGATGAGGTGGGACTTGAGAATTGGAACGAAGATGAAGATAATTATGCATTTGTATATTCTAATCCCGACAAGGGTTCACAGAAAGTTCTGGTGAAGTGTTTAGTAATGAATGATAAATTGCTTGTTGATGCTTTGAAAGAAGGTGATTCTGAGCCTCTCCATCTTGAAATCAAGTAAGTTCAGTGCTCTCTCTTAGAAGGGAAATTTTTTTGTTTTGTTTTATTGAATTTGCTGTGTTTGAGTAATGGGTATTTTGATTTTGGTAATTTATAGTGTTAGTGACTATGCCGAAGAGAATGCTACTGCAAATTACAGTTCACATTTCAAGAATTTGAGGAAGCTGGTAGCAGATGTTAATAAAGAAATCTTGGCTAAACTAGATGGTTCGGCTGCAAGTTCATCTGCTCAACCATCAAGGTATTTTGTTTGTATTATTGTCACTGATTGTTCTAAATTGCTTCTAGTACATGCTTTGTGACTATGGTCGAAACATTTTATTTCTTTGGCTCACATAAAAGCTGAAAGTGCTAAACCATATCAAGTAAATAGCACATGTCCAGATGATTTTGGTGAATGTATTCAATATTTCAACTTTGTTTATATTGATTTGTGGAGTTCTGTTTGCAGGTCTGATGATGGGTTGAGAGACAATAGAGACCGATCTAGGATGGGAGTTACTGACCCCAGCAATCCTTATGTTTTTCCTCATCCTTCAGGGTATTTTTTAATTGCATAATGATAAAGAATTTTGTTTGATTTATAAGCCATGTGTGTATAAATTTGTGTCCTTTCTTTTTTTTCCTTTTTTATGGGGAGATTTAGAGAAGCTTGTAATGCTGTACAATAAAAGCTTGGTCTATTTCATAAATATCTGCTGTTGCCTGTAGCTATATAACATTGGTTTGACTAGAATAAACTATTGTTTATAGTAGTTAATCAAATTCATATTCAGTTGTTTAGTTTCTTTTAAAGACAACGGTAGGACGCAGCCTACATGATATACCTGGTAAATATTTATTTCCTATTTTGCTTTTGCATTCTGGATCTGCCTCTGCAATTTATTGACTTCTCAAGAGAAGGATGGGGAAACATATGGCATATCATTTCTTGGTATCTAGAGGTGCCAAAGTCAGGGTACTACAAAGCATGATAAGGGTTGGGTTGGGTTGGGTTTGGGTTGCCAGGATTTTATGCTTTTGGTCTGTAACTTGGTAGAGGTTAACTCTTGTCTAGTCTTTTGTTGAGTGTTTAATCTGATGTTGGAAGCATTTGTTGGGACGCATCATCAAAATAGAATATTTTGCTGCCAAGACATCTATAATTCTACCGTGCAAGAAATGAATCCTGAGTTTTAATTAGTTTTGGCTGCACATTTTTTATGCTTTTGGAATAGCTCTGACACTGATCTATAACCTTTTTGAAGAAAAGAATTGTTAACATCCCATTGTTCATATGTCTAATGGTAATGCTCATCTATCACGAAGTTAATCTTCCTCTCTTTACTCTCTCTGCAAATATAGAGTGATTGTTCCTCCGCTTCCTGGTTCTGGCAGCAGTGATCTCTTTCCTGGGCCTGGTGCTGGAATGTATCCAACAAGGTTTCATAGCTTCCATATATTGTGATTCATAATATGATTGTTTTTCATTTATGTCTATGCATTTGAGGAGTAGTTGATTGTTATATTTGATTTTTAACTTTTGGTAGGGGTGATTTTGGTGGTGAAAGCATGCTCATAGGTTCGTAAGTTGTCTTGTTTCATATCTGTTTGACAATTACAACAGCAACACTTGTTTAGGTTTGTAATTTCTTATGGTCGTATGCAGGGCCACATGATCCTCGGTTTTTTGGAGGAAATAGAGATGGCGTGCCTGGTTTGCCAGGAGGTCAACCGTGAGCTCTCTCTCTCTCTCTCTCTCTCTCTCTCTCTCTGTGCGCACGCACGCACGCGTATATAATGTATGTATATATGTAGTATTTATGTATATATGTGCTTGTTTACATCCTCATGTGTGTTCAGTATTTCTTAAATTTTGATGCAGAGGCGTTCCACCTGGTGCCCGTTTTGATCCTTTTGGCCCCCCTGGTGTTCCAGGTTTTGAGCCCGGTCGTTTTGTTAGGTATGCTGAAACGTATTCGATTTCTTCATAAATTTATATTGTCAGAAGAGTATAATACAATTTTATTGGTTCAATGAGTTCTAGACAGGCACTGTATGAAGTCAGTAGTTCTGTTACTATTAGTGCATTTCCAGCTTCCATCCTGTCTTTCGGGGCAATTATCACATCTTGATTGTGTTGCATGCTACCAAATGCTCTTTTTGATCTTTTTCTCAATTTCCCTAATTCAAATTGAAGTGTGTAGTAGATGTCATGTGATGTGCACATGCTAAGCATCCAATACTTCCACTTAATAAACACGTCGGCCACAAAGTATTATATTATCTTTTAGCTTGGTGTGAATTCTATAAGCTCAGTTAGAACCTGTTTTTACTGAATTATTGGCTGTTACAGTAATTATGTACAATTGTTGGTGAGGACGACTTTGTCATCATTCAGGCCTTGTTTGTTTCTGATTAAAATCAGATTTTAATCTAAGTCAAACAATCAATATTAACCACATCTTTCATGGGTCCCACAGCTTTTCAACCATACATTTCAAAAATTTCTATCACAATTTACTAAAAATCCAATTTTAATCCCCACCAAACACCCTCACAGTATTGTCAATATTACTTGGTTCAAGTTGGCGACTTTTGCTACTAAACTCGTTTTGTAATCTTAATTTCATCCTTCAAGCTTCTTAATCATTGAATAAGAATCAATTCCTTACATGATTCTTGAAAACTTAGTACTCTTGTTCGTCATAATATCTGATCAAACAAGAGTCTTATATTAGATAAAGGTCTTCCATGCCTTTATCTAGAACATTGGCCGACCCTGAAACATGAGGTTTTTATAGTGTTCCCAAAAGAGAGCTTAGAGAGTTGCTTTGGTGCATTATTTTCTATTCTTTCCTCATTCTTTTAATTTGTTTTTAATGCTAAAATTCTGTGCAGAAACCCAAGGAGGCCTGGTCCTGGGACACATCCTGATCTGGAGCATTTCGGCAGCGACTCAGATTTTATTTAGACTCGTTCTTAGGAAGAGACGCATGTTTCACATTCACCTCTAATTTTCTCGTGGTCGAATAGATTTTGGATTATGAATTTCTAAACTATGTATAATGGCTGATTTCTTGCATATATGTTTTAGTTCTTTTTAATAAATGCAAGTTTGTGTTTCCCTGGCGGGCTATAGTCGTTTTCCCAATTTAACTTTTGTACTCGAGAAGTTGGGTTAGAAAGAGAGATGCTTTATGCCCCAGCTCAATGACCGGGGCATAAACAGGCATTGGAGGGGGGGCTGACACAGCCGCCCCCCGTCCAATAGGGGGGCACCACTGTTAATGCCCCGGTCATTGAGCCGGGGCATTAAGGCTTTTCCGGTTAGAAAATGGAAAAATCTGGAAGAGTATACGGACATCTGTACATAGGAGGTGGTTCCTACAAGAAACATTATTTTAGTCAAATTGTAGAAATGGAAGCTGCCAATGAAAAAGGAATAGTCGACGTCGGTATTCTTTTCTAGAAGGCCAAATTTGTAAGCTTCAATTCAAATGGAACATTCCATTGATTCTGCCTTAAAACAAAGACCAAATCTTACACTATTATATAAAACACAAGAAACTACCAACCAGCCAACCACATCGATCATTACAAATTTTCATTAAACGTTCAAATTGGAGCACGACAGAAATGGGTTTATTTCAGCCCTGTCTATATTTAGTGATGATGTTTGTTATATTCAGTTTTGCATCTCAAGATACTACAAGAGCAGAAGCTAGGCAACTTCCCTTGCCACCTCAACAAAGTAAAAATTCATACTCTTCTCCTTGTTTTTGTGTTATGTAATATTTCAACTTCTTTTTCTACTTTAATACTGTTTAGCGTAGTCTAATTCATGATTTTATGGGTTCATTTAGAATACTCGAAGATTTTTGGAACTCTTGGAGTGGTTTGTCAGTGCTGTGATGGTTCTGCTGCTGGAGGAGAATGTAAAGATACTTGGGTTGGATCTTGCTCCAACCTCCACTGTCTTCCATGGAAATTTCACTAGCCTGTGGACATGTATTATTGTATAGACATCTTTCCATTCATTTTGACACAGATATATACAGATATGTGTAGGATCATTCTCTACCTTTTTTTTTTTGTTTTGTTTTTGTTAATTTTTCAATCCATGAGTCGGGATTGTGTTATACGGCTGAAAGGACTGGAAAAAAAAAAAAACAACAACAACAACTGGTCTGATGAACATAAAGGGTGATTATTTAGGATGAGAATATGGATGGAAAATTCTAATGTGGATATAACAATTAGTCAACAAAAATAGGCTTCTGTCTAGGTGTCTTTGTCTCTCCAATTAAGTTTAGTAAATCTTAACTCAAGCTTCTAGAGGGCCTGCACATAGTCAATGATCGATTGAACGTGAATACTGTACTGGCATTCAATTTAAAAAATTATAAAGAAAAAACATACAATAAAATAAAAGGCAAGCAATTACTGAACAGTGCCATTTTTTTTATTTTTTATTTTTTCCATATCTGATAAATTATTAAGGAGATACAGAATTATAGCTGCTTTTATTATGTGCAGTAATCAATACAAAAAACAGCCATTATTGGCTTCTTACATAACTTCTGTCCACTCCAATGTTTCTTGATCCATTCAAGGTAGTGTGTAAGCTGCAAAGAAAATAATTAAGATTCAGAATTCGAATAGTTAGAGACACTGTGCCCACTTCTTGATGACAAATAATAAAAAAATTCCTCAAAATGTGCCCACTTCACTCCTACAAAAATGTCCAACTTTTGAGCCAACCATGGACCACCCCACTAGTGTAAACAATGTAAAACTCGAACCACTTGAACAAAAATTC